GAGCCCACCAAGCAGAAAGCAGATCCAAGGACTTCATGTCTAAAACACCAAAAGCAATGGCAACAAAAGCCAAAATGGACAAATGGGATCTAATTAAACTAAAGAGCTTCTGCACAGCAAAAGAAACTACCATCAGAGTGAACAGGCAACCTACAGAATGGGAGAAAATTTTTGCAATCTACTCATCTGACAAAGGGCTAATATCCAGAACCTACAAAGAACTCAAACAAATTTACAAGAAAAAAACAAACAACCTCATCAAAAAGTGGGCAAAGGATATGAACAGACATTTCTCAAAAGAAGACATTCATACAGCCAACAGACACATGAAAAAATGCTATCATCACTGGCCATCAGAGAAATGCAAATCAAAACCACAATGAGATACCATCTCACACCAGTTAGAATGGCGATCATTAAAAAGTCAGGAAACAACAGGAAAAGGAGAGGATGCAGAGAAATAGGAACACTGTTACACTGTTGGTGGGATTGTAAACTAGTTCAACCATTGTGGAAAACAGTATGGCGATTCCTCAAGGATCTAGAACTAGAAATACCATTTGACCCAGCCATCCCATTACTGGGTATATACCCAAAGGATTATAAATCATGCTGCTATAAAGACACATGCACACGTATGTTTATTGTGGCACTATTCACAATAGCAAAGACTTGGAATCAACCCAAATGTCCATCAGTGACAGACTGGATTAAGAAAATGTGGCACATATGCACCATGGAATACTATGCAGCCATAAAAAAGGATGAGTTCGCGTCCTTTGTAGGGACATGAGTGCAGCTGGAAACTATCATTCTCAGCAAACTTTCACAAGAACAGAAAACCAAACACCGTATGTTCTCACTCATAGGTGGGAACTGAACAATGAGATCACTTGGACATGAGAAGAGGAACATCACACACTGGGGCCTATTATGGGGAGTGGGGAGGGGGGAGGGATGGCATTGGGAGTTATAACTGATGTAAATGACGAGTTGATGGGTGCTGACGAGTTGATGGGTGCAGCACACCAACATGGCAGAAGTATACATTTGTAACAAATGTGCACATGAAAAAAAAAACTTAAAATATAATATTAAAAAATGTGAAAATAATAATAAGAATAAAATTTTAAAAAAAAAAAGATAACCTGAGGTTATTGTTCAGGTCAGCCCTCCAGATAAAAGGAGCAGGCAGGAATTCAAGGAAGAACCCAAGTCTGCAACAAAGACAAAAAATTTGATAGAGTATTAATTATATCAGATTATGTTGAGAGGAAGGAGGCAGGAGGGCACGTGTTCAGGAAGAGAAAAACAAAGAGCCCTATGTCAGGAAAACACTTCAAAGTTGACATCCATATTCCTTTGAACAGTTGTATGAAATGTTTAGTAATTCCTTTAAAAACCCAGGCCATAAATAAATATTTTCATTTGGTATATCAAGGAATGCACTAAATATCATTTGCAGGTGTTATCACTTGACCAAAGAGAAATTCGCATTACATAACCCACAGTTTTATTTAAAAAGTCATATTACAACACTTGAAAATCATGGAATTACTATTTGCAACATAGTGAAGGAGCACTAGGAAAAACAAACAGTGAACTCTGAAAATAATTTATTTGCTCATTTTATGATCTGAGCACCACAAAAGCATGGTTGCTATTAACTACCATAATCAAAGAAAAGAAAGGTTAGGATAGGTAATCTGGCCTAAAAATCACATGGAAAAAAAAAAGTGCTAGGATACAGCTAGTACTAAATTATTTACTACTAATTTTAATGTTGTTTCTACTCTCAAAGACTCAGTCACAAATTGAGCAATGAGCTTTTCATATGATACAAAGTTACATTTATAATGGAAGAAGTTGAAAATATACCACTCTGGCATACTGACTATTTTGAATAAAAGGCATTTAATTCAAGTATTGGAAAACAACAGGTGTAAAAAGAGAACTCTGATCTTCCAGCCTCCTTAAAAGCAGATGAAATTTCCCTGAAAGAAATTAACATCCTATCCTCAAGGACAGGAAGTTGAGGTCAAAGAATTCTGTACAGACTTTGTTAAAATAATGTATCTTTTAAGCCTCCCCACATAATTTAGTTGGTTTTTCACAACTTACTGCTCTTTTTGTAATTAATTATTTAAGCGTTTCACTCTAACTGCTTATTTGGGTCTTTATCTCTTTTTTTTTAAATTTAATTTTATTTATTATTATTATACTTAAGTTCTAGGGTACATGTGCATAACGTGCAGGTTTCTTACATATGTATACTTGTGCCATGTTGCTGTGCTGCACCCATCAACTCGTCATTTACATCAGGTATAACTCCCAATGCAATCCCCCCCCTCCCCCTCCCCATGATAGGCCCCGGTGTGTGATGTTCCCCTTCCCGAGTCCAAGTGATCTCATTGTTCAGTTCCCACCTATGAGTGAGAACATGCGGTGTTTGGTTTTCTGTTCTTGTGATAGTTTGCTAAGAATGATGGTTTCCAGCTGCATCCATGTCCCTACAAAGGACACAAACTCATCCTTTTTTATGGCTGCATAGTATTCCATGGTCTATATGTGCCACATTTTCTTAATCCAGTCTGTCACTGATGGACATTTGGGTTGATTCCAAGTCTTTGCTATTGTGAATAGTGCCACAATAAACATACGTGTGCATGTGTCTTTAGAGCAGCATGATATATAATCCTTTGGGTATATACCCAGAAATGTGATGGCTGGGTCATATGGTACATCTACTTCTAGATCCTTGAGGAATCGCCATACTGTTTTCCATAATGGTTGAACTAGTTTACAATCCCACCAACAGTGTAACAGTGTTCCTATTTCTCCACATCCTCTCCTTTTCCTGTTGTTTCCTGACTTTTTAATGATCGCCATTCTAACTGGTGTGAGATGGTATCTCATTGTGGTTTTGATTTGCATTTCTCTGATGGCCAGTGATGATAGCATTTTTTCATGTGTCTGTTGGCTGTATGAATGAATGTCTTCGGGTCTTTATCTCTTTATGAGGATTCTCGTGCCACGTAAAACTCGTATTACTTGTATGAAATAAATTTGTATGCTTTTCTCCCGTTAATCTATTTTATATCCATTTAATTCTCAGGCCCAGCTGGGACCCTAAGAAGAAACAGGTGGAATTTTGCTGCCCCTATACAACTAAATGAGTATCAAGATTCTCTGTAAAATTCATGAAAATTAGCACAGTCTGTTTGAAACTTAAATCAAATGCTTCTTATGTGAGATGATCCTTGACAGCTACCAAAGGGATTCAGTCCTGGCAAAGATGCAGCTTTAACGTGTGTACACACAGTAAACCTTCTGGCATGTCAAAAGCATCTGCCATCTGAAGACTTGTCATTTTTCATTCACTTTCTTTTAATTATTCAAAATTAGCAAACTATTTTAAAGCTAAAGTGTCAAACAAAATGAGTGTCCTTTACAATCCCAATAAATAATCCAATTCTTATAAGGGCAATCAACATTTTCAACAATATTTACTCAATAAGGGGTTAAGGAAGTGCGATCCGGAGTCAGATGTACTGGTAGGAAATCCTAGTTCACTACCCATGTGATCTTGGAGAAATTAACCCAAGCCTCAGTTACCTTATAAGTAAAATGGGGTGAACATTACCTACTCCATGTTCACAGAGACCCTATCAGGGCCACTGTGAACATTAGATAATCCCTGCAAAATTATAAACCAAACTAGTGTTTAATAGATGACACTAGTTGTTTAATAAATGTGTTTAATACATGACACTATATTGATTTCCTAGTAAATACCAGACTTTGCTACTGGTACTAGGGATGTCAAGATAAAGACAAATTAATTAGAGCCTCTGCCATCAAAAGGTTTATGCTTTAATAGGAGATACTTAAATTAACAGAGTCTTGTAAATGGTCATGTTTTCTCTCACAAACACTAAATTGCCACCTTTTCTCTTGCAAATACTATTTGCACTGCAATTACCAAAGGTACCTAAGGCCAACAGAATCAGAGGCAGCCACAGATTCAAAGGGAGTAGGGGGGACAGCAGGCATGGGGGGAAAAGAGGAATCCTGCTGAAACTCCAGCCTGGAGCCTGTGCAGGACTTGTGTAAAACATTTAGTGCCACTACAGTAACAGTCAAACTTGAACAAACTCGTGTCTCAGCAGACAGACAAGTGTTAACTTTTAATTGGAAAAGCAGTATCCTACTCCAACCCTAGAGAAAACCACAACTATTTTAGGTATAACTTCGAGATTCACAAATTCTGAAAGCTAAAGCTGATGACCTCTTTTGCTACAAATTACCTCCTCCCAAACTGTTTAGGTAATCCTCCTGTTACTTCGGGATACCAATGACTTACCTCCTGGGTAGAAGAACCACACTGGTAGAGCCCCTCTTTTGGGTCCCAGAGGTCTCGTCTCTAGTGAGCCTAGCTTCATACTGAGCTGTCTGTCACCATCTTTTTACATGTGACTTCTACACGAGACTGCAAGTCACCGTATTCCTCTTTGCATCCTTCCTACCGAGCACAGTGACTAAATACTAAGTTCAATAGATGTGTGTTGAATTATTACTTGGTGCCAAGCATTGTGCCAGGCAGCAGAGATACAAACATTAAAAACATGTTCTTTGTCAAAGAACAAATCATCTAATGGGGAGACACAGTCAACATTTCATATATGAGAACTGCACTAATGGAAAGACTACAATACTAGGTGTGGGGAATTGGTATGGAAAGGAATATCCAGATAGAATTAAGAGAAGGGATATTCCCCCAATTAAATAGGGAAAAGCTAAAGAGTCCCAGGCATTATAAACTGGAAACAGACTCTGGGAAATAATGTACAATGGGAGGAGGAAAATTTTTAAAAGAAAATGTTGGTTGAATAGGTAAATGAATATAGTCAAATTTAGAAAGGAACACTGAAAATATAATTGTTAAAAATCACTAAATTCCCTCAAATTTAATACTTGGACCTTATTGTAAAGATTCTTACCTCCCAGAAATTCCTTTTGTTGACCCTGGAATCTCTGGTACAGGCCGATGTCTTAGCAGAAAAGATCGAGATGGTCTTGAAACCAACTTGCTACGACTTCTCATAGGTGCTAGGATTGGTGATGATGGAACATACAAGTCATTTACAATCATTTCTCCTTGAAACTTAAAGAATGGGGATGGTGGTGATCCGTCTAATAAACCATTTGTTCCATTTCTAGAATTCGTTTCTGATGTTGAACAGCCAACAGAAGAAAGGCATTCAGAGTCTGCGTTAGGGAGCTTATTGAGATTTTCTGAGATCAATTTAACTTTTTCTGTTTGTTGTTCTTCAATTCTGTGATCCATAGTCTTCTTTGTAATCAAAGATTCTATTTTAATATTTTCACTACCAAATAAAGAATTATTCAAAGAACCCAAATTCAGGTGTGGTTCTTCTGCAGTGGGGAAGTCGCGTTTAGGAGGAGACAGCTTATTATCTGATTGAGGATACCGGCTTCTTTCCACACTTGCATCGTCTTCAAGTTTTTTTGTAACAGTCTCCAACTGCGGTGGGCTAGGCATCTGAACACTGCTAGAACTGGAAAGTTCTACGCAGATATTCTGATCAGAAGATGGAACATTGTGATCCTTTGAAGGGTCATCATTCTTCTTTGTTTTATGAACATTTGCATATATTGGAAAATCTTGCATTTTTGACAAGATTATCTGTAACTGTTTAAGTATCCTCCTACGGTGACCTGTAGGCGATATTCCAATTTTCTGTAGCAGGCTGTCATTTATTGCTGCACAGTCCTTCACAGTAGTAAAACCAGACTCATGGAAATGTAAGAGATACTGCTCCAAATTAATGCTCATTAGGAAATCTTTTATATCCACATTTACTTCACTGACTGAGGACATAATGGTGGCTTCATTACTAAGTTGAGTTACAAAAAGTGGCACGATGAGATACACACACAAGAAGATGCACTTCTCTGCTGGCTTTTCCTCTATCAATTGTGACAGAAAAGTTTCTTAAAATGTTATTTTCTTTACAGTGACTGCTTTATGTGCTTAAGCCTAGAAGAAAAATAAAAATGATTTATTAGGCTATTTTAATTATTAAAATCTACTTTTATATACTTTCTCTGAAGAAACAACAGAAATTAGGACACTAACTTTCACTCTGCATTTGGAATCTTTGTGCATTGCTTTGCACGCCCTAGAAAACCAGTTTCTCCGTATGTGAGGGTACAGGACAGAAATGCTATGACAGCATCAAACTATGACTTTCAAAAAGGTGAAAAAAAATGACACTGACACACGTACCGAATAAACATATATCAAAAGCTTTATTCAACTTCTTAATTTAAAATGAGGGAACCAGTAAGTTAATAAGATTGGATCCAAGAGCATTTGTGGAAAAGATTTACATAGTGCATCAGAAAAGTTTTTTTTTTAAAGTATTAGGATAGCTAGGTTAGATAAAAAAAACTGTTTAATGTCCTACAGGATAATAAGCCACAACATTTGGGGTTATCTTTTCTACTGGACAAAAATCTATAAGCATGCAGGTAACTTCTCAGTGTCTATGTGCTACTCAAATAATAAATAGCTAAGTCAAGCACAGGAATTAAAATTGGGATTAAAATATCTCTAAGGTGGTCTTGTTAAACAATATTCCCACAAAGGCACTGAAAGAATGTTCTTTTGACTTTCAAGTTTTATGCAATTTTCTTAACAGTAACTGAATATAAACAACTTTCCCTTTCACTGCACTTTCTTTCAAATACTTAAAAAGCAGTCAGAACATATTTCTCAGTTCAATAATTTTCATTTCATAAAAGCAGGCAGCATTATATGTAAACAATAGTGATATACAAGATATGACACTGAATAATCAGCTAATTCTTAAATACATTAGATAACAGAAAATATGCTAATATAAAAGGACAAGGTAAAGGTTTAAAGGTCATGTGTCCTCCAATGTACACAGGAAATTCATAAGTTTATTTTTCTCCCAAACAACATAATTAAACTTTTTTTAAAAATCCATTTTTCCAGATGCTAATTATACAGGTGTGTTCAGTTTATGAAAATGCATATGTGCAAGTTTCTGTACACTGTGCGTCAATAAAAAAGTACAGAGCAGGTAGCAGGTATGACACATATATACTGAAGTAATAAAATGAGACACACCCAAACAAGGAAAATTTCCCTGAGCAAGTTTTGATGCAGGACTGAAAAACCCCTTGAAATAGTTCTGCAAAAGGCACTACTTGGACTCTGCATATGCTACATGCCAACTGCCCACAAGCTACTGCTTCAACTATTTTAAAATATCAGCAAGCAGTAACAAACAGGTATAGAATAAAAGGGAAAGCATATATCTTCTTCAGGACACACTGTAGGAGCAGAGAAATAAAAATACAAAATAAATGATGAAAGGCAGGAAATCCCTTTGTCAATAAGGCATCCCAGAGTAACACCTAAAATGCTTAAATGTCACACACAAAGAAGTTACACCTCGGCCAGGTGTGGTGGCTCAAACCTGTAATCCCAGCACTTTGGGAGGCCAAGGTGGGCAGATCAATTGAGGTCAGGAGATCAAGACCATCCTGGCCAACATGGTGAAACCTTGTCTCTACTAAAAATACAAAAATTAGCTGGGTGTGGGGGGTGCACGCCTGTAATCCCAGCTACTCGGGAGGCTGAGGCAGGAGAATCGCTCAAACTTGGGAGGCAGAGACTGCAGTAAGCTGAGATGGCGCCACTGCACTCCAGCCTGGCAACAGAGCGAGACTCCATCTCAAAGACAGATATAGATAGATAGATAGATAGATAGATAGAGATAGATAGATAGATAGATAGTAGATAGATAGATAGATAGATAGATAGATAGATAGATAGACAGACAGATTTGAAAAAAGAAAAGTTACACCTCAACACTACATACAAACTCAATTCTCAGATAAGCCACTTTCATTCTACACAATTATTTTGTAACAAATGTCTCATCTATTTTTACTAGCCTTATCACAGGATGGAAATAATTACTACCAATGGAACAATAAGTGGACATAACGTATTCACCCACTTTAGAATTTATAAACATGATAAATTGGCCAATAACTTGAGAAGATTAGAAGCATTTTCCTTCTGAAGTAGAAAATTATAAAAAGTCACAGTTTTGCTTACCAGTGTCCACAAAAACGTTAATAGGAGAAAAACAATTTCAATAAAATACATATACACATGCACATCAAGAAACCTCCTGATGCATCCCTACCCCAAATCTAAAACCTAGACTGCATTCCCAAGTCCACCTTTGTATTATCCACCACATTCAAGGAAGCAGGTGAGCTCCTGATTTTACTCCTTGCTACTGACAGAATTATGTCCTCCCAAAATTCATATCTGAAGCCCTAACCTTTACTATGACTGTATTTGGAGACAGGGCCTCCAAGGAGGTAATTAAGGTTAAATGAGGTCATCAGGATGGGACCTTGATAAGATAGCATTAGTTTCTTATAAGAGACACCAGAGTTTTCTTTCCCTCAGGTCCCAGAGCCCTCTATGTAAGGACATAGGGAAAAGGCGGCTATCTGTAAGCCAGGAAGAGGAACTCTAGGAAACTTATCAGCTGGCAAATGGATCTTGGACTTCTCAACCTCTAGAGCTGTGAGAAAATAAATGTATGTGGTTTAAGCTACATGGCCTGTGGTATTTTGTCATAGCAGCTGAGCTGACTAATACACTTACTCCATCCTCACTGCTTTTGTCATGGTTCCAAATCTCATGACATCTTTTGCCTGGATTATTGCAACGGTCCCTGAACAAATCTCTCAGCCCAGTCTCCATGCATCAGTCAACGAACTATCAAATACATAATTCGGTATATAACTCCACATGCTCAACCAGATAAAGTCTATGCTGATATTGCTTATAGTGCCAAATCACATTTTTGTCTCTAGCAATAATAGTAGCAGGTGCTATTGATATAAACAGCAATTATGTGTCAGACACCATGCTCATATTTCCTATGAGAGAGGAATTCCTCTGTATCAACAACAAGCTCATATTCAATGCTTTTAAACATTCTACCAACATCCTTCATTCACTTTAGTCCATTCTTGTCAATTATTTCCCTGAGGCAACAAGCTGTTTAGCAGCTCCATGCCTTTTTGCATACACTCTATCTGCTTTCTTAAGCACCATTTAAAATTATAAATAGGCAGGTATTACCTACTCTGTGAAGGCTTCTTATCAACCCCTCAAAAAAGAATGAATCATTCCTTCCTTAACATACATTTATAATTTCTATACTAGAGCTTTGCAAAGCACTTGGAACATGTTTTTTTTATGTGAGAGAGGCTGATAAAAATGGCAGAAGAGATTGACAAGCCCACTGTATTCGTTTTTTGGTATATATGTGTGTACTTTCGTTTTAATGCACAGCCCTTTCCTTTCTTTGGCAGATACATATATACTTCCTAGGTGGTCAAATCAAATAAAGATATACCAAAAGCTCTACCCAAAACCATCTCTCTCTATCACTCAACATGCTGAATATGGTTAATGAATCTGTTTCCTTTTCATGCTATGAAAAAGGCTCCCTCCCACAGCCCTAAAATCCTCTCTGCACGTTAATGTCAACTCTGTCCTCCAAATTGCCTGACATTTTAACTGTGTGAACACCCAAGAGTGTTCACAGATCCAGTTCTTTCCTTAGATGCTCTAGCCCCAAGCACATCATTAGATACACAGAGATAATCATGCCTAACTATAAAATTTCAGTATGTGAAAGCCCCTTAATACGAAATTGAGGCTCTCCATGTTTTGACCTCCAATTGCAGTCTATGGCATGTATGCCACACTCTAGATCAGTGACCCTCCAGGTACTGATCTGTGGATCTTCTGTACATCAACAACTGCTGTGGGTCCTAGGAGTCTACATTTGTTATATCCTCCAATTATAACTGGGATGTGCGAAAAAAATGTGGTAAATTACAGTTCTAAGTTCTTGAGGCTTCCCAGACATGCTTTATACCAGCCCACCTGAGTCTAAGCTCATCACTATCCTCCTCTTGGATAAAATCCCCCACCTAACATCCTGCACACAAGTTTGCAGTAAGACTAAATTAAAATTCCACCTCCTCCACTTTCTAGCAGTGTAAATATAGGCCCGTGCCTATGTCAATGTCTCCATTTCCTTTCCCATAAAATGGAAATACTCCAGAGTATCAAGCATTGGTGAAGATTAAATGAGATAATTCATCATAAGTGACTCGCGCATAGTGCCTAGCATGTACTGATGCTTAGTAAACATTCACTTCGTCACTGTAATTATTTTCACCACTATAGTCATTGTGTCCCCACAGTTAAATTTTCTGTTCTCTGAGGTCTAAAACACTTTCCTTCACAAGAGTTCTAGTGAATAAGAAATGCATTCTCTTCTCCGTATTCCTACACTATTTACTTCTTAGAGTGTTGTCCCAGTTCATTCAGACTGATTTAACAAAATACGAATGGTCTTGGACTTATAATGAAGTTACATCCCAATAAACCCATTGTATACTGCAAATATTATAAGCTGAAAACGTGCGGCTGAGAGAGAGCCAGGGCTTGCTGCCACTGCCCAGCATCACTAGAGAAGTGTGGTTTCTCCCAAATGCATATCACATTCACTCCATCATAAAGTCGAAAAATCCCAAGTCAAACCATAATAAGTTGGGGAACATCTGTACCTTAGACTGGATAATTAACAAACAACAAAAATGCATTACTTAGAGTTCTGGAGGATGGGAAGTCCAAGGTCATGGCACCTGCAGACATCACAGATAATGCCTTCTATATGTTCTCACGTGACAGAAGGGCAAGGGGCAAACAAACACCTCCCTCAGGCCTCTCTTCTGAGAAGACTAATTCCATTCAGGACAGCTCTGGCCTCATGACCTAATAACCTCCCCCAAGCCCCACCTCTTAATACCATTCCCTTGAGCAGTCAGGTTTCAACACAAAAATCAGGAGTGGGGGATGGGGGACACATACATTCAGACCATAGCAAGTGTTTAATTATA